GGGGGCTTTGTTGAAAACGAAGCGTTTGAGAGAGGCGGGGCATAGAGGACCTACAATAATGTACAGTATTTGAAAAATAATGTGTTTTTTGAACATTAAAGCATGTCAACATATTCTGTTACACCAGATACACAAAATAATGATCTTTAAAATAGCATCATATGACCCCTTTAATTTGTAAAAAAAATGAAAAATCAGAAGTTAAGAGTTCCTCAGTGGTTGTCAAAGTTTTTGAGTCCTTTTTCGACTCCTTATGGATTACTGTGATGTTTTTATCAGTTGTTTGGACTCTCATTCTTACGGCACCCATTCACTGCAGGATCCATTGGTGAGCAAGTGATGTAAATCTAAATTTCTCCAAATCTGTTCCCACGAAGAAACAAACTCATCTACATCCAGGATGGCTCAAGACTGATTACATTTTCAGCAAATTTAAATTTTTGGGTGAACTATTCCTTTAATACCAATTTGCTCCAAAGAACATGCAAAAAGGCACAAGTTATTTGTATCGTCCACATCAGATGGGTTTAAAAACTAACTGATAACTGGGTTAGGTCAGCTGTTTATCATCAGGTTCAGTAGCAGGTCTTACCCCTGTAAATGTTCTTAGGGGACTGGCATGTGTGTCCACAGCCGTTTGGGCAGCATTTCTTCTGGGCTGAACACTCTCCGTCTTCCTCACATCCCTCCACGCAGGCAGCTGCAAACCCGCTGGCTCTTTCTGGTGCCGGACAGTCACCCTGTTTCACCACCATCACTGATCGCAGGAACTCACAGCTTGTCACACACTCGCCATGACGCTTGGGAAATGCGTGCTGAGGAGATGTCATGTCATAGTGTACAGAACCAAACTTTAACACCTGGATATCATTGTCATACATTCTAGCAATTCATTTGTGACACATTCATGTGACATTCATTTGTCTATGGATTTTGGACACACTTTGAGTATCATTCACTCACACTATATGTATGCATGTATTTTTACATATAACCTTTATACTTACAATTTGTATCATACATTAACTTATATTAACTTATATTTATTATTTCAGGGATACAGGAGCCTATAAAAAGAATAGAATAGAATAGAATAGAATAGAATAGAATCCATTCATTTTCCCAACCCCTTGTCCTATGTAGGGTCATGTGGATTCTGGAAACTATTCCTGCTTATATTAGAAATGTAATTATTGAAAAATATGGTTTAGTATAGGTTCTACATAGAAATGTAGACGTTCACATGCAGTTTAAATCTATGTGAAAGGTGTATTGTTTTTTAGCTGGCTTTGAGAATGGATTTTCTTGTTTTTGGCACTATGTTCAACACAAGATGATTACAAGATTTACATGTTGTGAATGAGCGGATTTCATGTTGCTTAATGTTATACAAGTCTAAAATGATGGATGAAGGTCCTAATCAATGCTGGCAAATAAGAACTTATATTCATTGTTTTAAGTCCCCATTGCCTTCAAAAGTGCATTTATAGTCAAAGAAACAGGAAAAGCTGGATCTTACTAAGCCAAGAGTTTTAAACTGTAGAGAAACGCCACAATAACAGGATTCAAGAGAGAAATGATCAAAGAAATTCTCAGACTGTTTAAAAAGATCAGAGCAGTACATTATCATGTTGAGCAATGGGAGACCACTTAAACGGTAGCCAAGTCTGTCAAGAAAAACAATGGAGGATTAATATTTGGAAAACCAGAACACCAAGTTCAGCCATTTTGTAACATTTTTTTTCTTGTTGAGAGCACATCCCAGAAACTACTAGATCTGTTAAGAATGCTGCGGTCTGTACCTCACATAAATCTCGACAAGGTCCGTCTTTCAACTCCCAGGAGTCTTTGCATGGCTCCAGACACTGTGAACAGACAGCAGAGGTCCGAGTATCAAGAAGCAGTTTCAAATGACTCTTGTATTATTCTTTTTCATATAAATCACAGTCAAATATGTTGAAGTCAAAAGCATTTGCTCTCTGTAGGAGTATCACAATATACTGCTTTTGATGATAACCATTTTAAAAATAAAATATTGATATCATGTTAATATTACACATTCAATGATATCGTAAATAAACCATCACTTGTAACTGGTTGACACTCCAACATAGTAGGTGGCGGCATTGCACCTTAAAGGCAGAGTAAGTGATTTTTCAAAAACACTTTAGAAAACTGATTCGGGCCGAATCGCAAAACAAACTAGTAGCACATCAGCAATAAAGGCGGGGTATGTGATTTTTCAAAAACACTTTAGAAAACTGATTCGGGCCGAATCGCAAAACAAACTTGTAGCCAATCAGCAATAAGGGGCGTGTCTACTTGTGATGTGGAGGAGAGAGCTTTCAGTGCATGGGACGGACATTAGCCGAGCCGGGCGACAGAGAGATAGAGATGGCGGATAAAAAACAAAAGAGGAAAACGTCTGCGGAACGATAAGGCAAGAAGTAGGACCCGTGTAAATATCGGATCAGCTTTCCAGCGCTGGAGAGAACTCAAGGAGCGGAGGCCTGCGATCGGACGCCGAGGTTGCTTTGTTTCTTCTCAATAGGTGAGTAACACCGTGTCTATAACAGCTAAAGTCTGCCTACACTGGACGCGATCAAACGACTGTTGAAAACCATTTGAAATTTGTGTCAGCACGTCATAAATAGAACCTGGCAGCAGTTTTCTGTCGGGGATTTGTTGTGCCGCGCCGCTCACGTCCGTAGACACGGTGTAACATTGGTTTTGCTTTGTTTCACAGAACTAATCGTTGCCTGGGTTGCGTACGTATATGTGGGGCGGAGCTATCAAAATAGGGGCAAGACCCTTTTGGGGTAGGGGCGTGTTTGTTTTGGTGATTTCAAATATCAACATTGGCTACCAGAAATCCCTTACTCTGCCTTTAACACTAGTTGGCACCCGTCATAAAACAGAAATAAGAAGTAGATTAAATGTGTAGTTACAACTGCCACACAAAATCATGTTGGAGGAGATGACAGAAAAAAAAAAAAAAGTTACTCTACCCACACCACACCCACAGCTTGCCAGTGTGGGAGTTAAAGATGAATTTGAGCATAATAGCATAATATATATTTTCCCAAAAGTAGTATAGATAACATCATAATTGTGAATTTTTTGGCCATGATAATCTTGGAGTGAAAATCAGATACGTGTTGCTGCTGATCTGAAGAGCTACAGCACTTCAATCAGCACTTTTCAAGTTTGCAAATCGTTCAGACAAAGGTTCTTTTATCATATTTTGTTGTTTTTGATCATACATCATTCGTAGGTGTTTGAAGTCTGTCAATACCTTCTCAGCAACTTGGAAGTGTGAGCGGAGAGATCCCTGAACGTTTTCCGATCACTGACATTTGCATTCAGCGTTTAAATCACATGCCAAAATTCTTTCATTTCAATGTCTACACCTGCCTCTCTCCCTGGCTCTTTCTCCTTCTATTTCACTCCCTCTCTCATCTTCTATTCTCCTTTCCTTAAAATTGACACTTCACTTCCTGCATCAATGAGCGTGGCTGCCTCTGGGGAATTCGCATTTCCAATTTCATGCCACGATGAGACACAGCGGTCACTATGGTGCTGAGGCTAAACATTGCTCTGCAGGAGCATGCTAGGTAAGAGATGTGAACATTACACATTATGCTGTTCTAGTAGTCATCTTTACTTCAATGGTCACATTTTCAGAACAGCATGAATGGACCTTTACCACCACCTTGGGAAAACGTACACTTCCTTCCGAAGGAAAGATTCTGCAGACGTCAGTTTGAGCATTTCACATTAAAATGCTTGTTAATCCAGGGATTTAGTATTAAGGGGAAACGATAAGGTGTGTGTCCGTTGGTGTGTGTGTGTGCCTATGTAAATTGTTAATATATGTGTGTTTGTGTCAGGGGGAACAAATGTAATCCTGGGGCGATGTTTCTGAGTGAGAATGAGAGTGGGAAACACATTTATCTGGGAGGGCAGTAAAAACGCACACCTTTTAAAGACAGCTAGGGCTCGGGTGGTGCAGTCGTCGGAAACTATGAATAATGGGAGAGGCACAAGGGCAGTTAGAGGCAGTAGAGGAGGCAGTTTTATGGAGCTCAGAGCAGCCAGAGCCCTGCTGAGATCGCCTGGAGCTTGTGTGCTCGAACGCACGAAATGCTGTCTCAGAGTCGTCTGTGCAGCTGAGAGAATTCAGCTTTGCCTGCTTTAGTTTCCCATGCGTGTAAATATCAATTCATCATGCACACCACATTATGCCACATTAAATAAAACAATGACATTTCAAGCATTGCATAATTAAAGTTTAATTTACAGTCTAGATCTAGTGCAGTACTAATGTTTACTGCATGTTTATCATTTGCAGTAAGTGTAAAACACAAGTAAATTAGTATGAAATGACTGGAGTTACAGAGATCAATGACATGCCCCTTATTTTCATGTCCAGATTTATTCATTAATATATTTATTTTTATTTAATTGATGAATACTCCGTAAAACATTTTGATTTAGCTGTTCTTGATACTATTGAATGAGAACACAGGACAAATTAATTAAATTGAGCTAAAAATAAAGACACTATATTGTCTCCTGAAAAGCTGCTTTATACTTGATGTTGCAAGTATACTTGAAAGTTGCCATTTACAATTGTATTTATTTTGTCCCAATATATTAATAATGAATAATAAATATAATAATAAAGAAAAATGTCTCATTAAAAGAATTAAATTACTGAAAAGAAAAGCTTGAGAAGTTTAGCATAATACCTTATTACTTATTGGGGGGGGGGGTTGTGACAAGTCAGAAGCGTTTGGATCCATTTGCAGCTTTTATTTAGAATAGTCAGAGAATACAGGGTCAAATACCGGCAAGACAGAACAGCAGGGGCTTAGACAGAGACAGAGTCGAATACCAGGCGAGAGATCAGGGCAGGCAGCTAGCAAACACAGTCCAGGTGAAACAATCCAAGATCAGGGCAGGCAGAGAACAATCAGATAAACAGGAAACAGTCCAAGATCAAGTACAAAGAAAGCAAACATGGGTATAACGCTCAGAAATTACAGCCAGAGCAAATCAAGACTTCGCAGAGAGTCTGTGTGTGTGAGTGGCTTATATGTGTGTGTGTAAATGAGGTGCAGGTGTGGATGAGCAATCAGTCCCAGGTATGAGGGGTGATGGGAATTGGAATCCGAATGGGAATGGTTAATATTCAGGAGACCGTTCCCTCTGGTGGTGCGGAGGAGGCGGTACGGGAGCCTCCTCTGTAACGGGGGACTGCTTCACTGCTTATTAATATTTAAAAGACTGCCAAATCAAGGTAATTTGAGCATCAATGAATGAATGAATCAATCAATCAATAAAACATAGACCCTCATAACTTTGTGTAAAGGTCAGTAAGACTCTTTAAAATATCAAATATCAAATATTTTGACCTTTTTATAATCAAGGCTGTCGCAGACAGAGAGCCAAGAAGGTGGAGCAATGCCGAGGATCCAGGCGGCCGCGATAGAGCTGTAGTGACGATCGCCCGAGATGTAGGTGGGGATCCAGAGGCCAAAGGGCGAACTGGAGCAACCGAGGAAGGAGGCAGAGCCTGAGGGAGGGTGGAGCGGGCCATAGCCGAAGGTGCGGAGGGCTGGAGAGCAGCGAACAGCCCGCAAGTCCGCAGTGGAGTTGTGACAAAGTCCGACCCAGGTGGAGCCGACTGAATGAGAAAGCTCGGCAAGGCCGAACGGCCGATGGTCCACGGCGGAATTGAGGGTGGGAAGAGTGCAGACGCAAGAGTCTGGACGGCAGGACGAGGTGGAGAGAGACCAACTGAGGCTGGAGGCGGAGCCACGGGCTCCTCAGATCCAGGAGATGAAGACTCCTGGCAGGCCCGAGATGGAGCCCCACCACTGAGAGGAGGAAAAATAGAGGGACTGATGGGGGACGAAGTTGACTGGACAGCAGGAGTGGCTGAGGACTGAGGAGACTGAAGAAATGCAAAAATCCAATCAAAAATAAAAAGTCTCTTAAAGCAATTTGGAGAGGAGGTGGGAGAAACGTTATGCAAAATGTTAATTCATGTGTTCATAACCTCAAGGTTAGATTATTGTAATGCTTTATTGGGTGGTTGCTCTGCACGCTTAATAAACAAACTCCAGCTGGTTTAAAATGCAGCAGCTAGAAGTACGACCCAGGAAATACGACCATATTAGCCCAGTTCTGTCAACTCTGCACTGGCTCCCTATTGAACAACGAATACATTTTAAAATCTTGCTATATAATTACTTATAAAGCCCTGAAAAGTTTAGCTCCTCAAAACTAGAGCGAGCTCATATCGCATTATTGTCCTTCACGTCCACTGTGATCTCAAAACTCTGGCCATTTGATAATAATACCTAGAATATCAAAATAAACTGCGGGTGGCAAATCCTTTCCCTATTTAGTGCCCAAACTCTGGAACAATCTACCTAGCGTTGTTCGGGAGGCAGACACACTCTGTCGGTTTAAATCTATATTAAAGACCAATCTCTTTAACCTGGCATACACATAATACACTATCACATTTCTGTCATTCAAATACATTAAAGGATTGTTAGGCTGCATTTATTAGGTCAACCGGAACCAGGAACACTTCCCATAACACTCAATGTACTCGCTTTATCGTAAGAAGAATGGCATCTACGCTAATATTAGTCTCTTTCATTCTTATTCCGAGGTCACTGTAGCCTGTATCCTGTATCCAGATCAGATAGTCACTGCAATCACCCAGATCCAGTCCATATCCAGACCAGATGGTGGATCAGCACCTAGAGACAACCTCTACAGCCCTGAATGACAGTGGAGACCATGTCAACTAGATGTTCCCCAGAGACAGATCCCCTGCCAAGACCTT